CCCACCCCCCACCACCCACCACCCACCACCCACCACCTACCACCCACCACCCACCACCCACCACCCACCACCCACCACCTACCACCCACCACCTACCGCCCACCACCCACCACCCACCACCTACCACCCACCACCCACCACCCACCACCCCCCACCCACCACCTACCACCCACCACCCACCACCTACCACATATCACACGTCGTGTTCCAGGATTTCAAAGGAAAAATTAAACCTGTCATATTGTCATCTAACGAGAAATAGTTAAAATGCGATTTTATTAGAAGTTTAGAGTGTAAGAGACCTTGGGTTAAAACGAAAAAGGGGTGGGGGGAGGGGGTGGGCTTATCTGATAGTTATAATAATCACACTTAATACGGAATGCACATTTTATTTATTTATTTATTTAGGCATTTTTGTATAGCGCTTACCTTAAAGCTCTAAGCCCTTTACAATTATTAAAAACATGTAAACTAACTAAAATAAAAATGAGACACTAGGATAGTAACTACTATACTATAGAAACAATTAAAATGGCTATAAAACGAGGACACTTTGGCACGTTTTGGCCTATGTTACAGGATTAACCCGAGACAGAAAATGAGGCAGGGCAAGGAGGGTGCATCACAGGTCATGGGCGGACCTTTCTTATACAAATAAGCATCCCATCCCACCCCACGACTACGGTGAAATCACATACACGTATTAAATGATGTATTAAGAAAACAAAGAACCCACCACAGAATCCACCATAGAACCCACCACAGAATCCACCATAGAATCCACCAAAGAACCTACCATAGAATACAAGCTACAAATAAATTTAAAAAACAAAAACTGGCGAATCTATATTAAAATCAATTTACTTTCATGTTTGCAACGGGAGTGAGACTATTGCCTGGGAGTGAATCTGTTTCTTGCTGAAACTCAGCTGAAAATGAATCTAACACTGTTGGTCCCACTTGGATTTCCACAAATTTTACACCCTGCGATTTCAACATATTTCCCATCTCTGGATTTCAGCATTTCTCCCATCCTTTTTTTTTATTGCAACGAAAATCTCGTTTTGCTGCGGGTGTATGGATGTTTAAAAGGGATGAATAGTCAATTAAATTTACACACAAAAAAAAAAAGAAAAAAAAAGAATGACAATGGTGTAAATATTTTGTTGATGGCATCTTAATATCCTTGCTTAACGTTCTCAGTTATCTTGAAGTCCTTTACTTTGATCCAAATGAAAACTGACCCTACACCCGCGGAAACAATGAGGACCATGGACATAAAAATCAACGCGATGACGCTGTCAAGTCTAAAAATTACAATTTCCAGGATTACAGTAAGACTGACTATGACAGCCATAACACTAACAACCAAGCCAATGGTCGTCAATGTGCTGGAACAAAGACGGGGTTTTTCTGTAGTGAAATTGGACTTCTCACTGCCCTTTTGTTCCGTGAGCAGCGCCGCTACTCTTCTCTCTAACCCGTCCAGTTGCTTCGTCAGCCTCTTCTCCGTGTCGCTCGAGATTTTAGATTCCGATACACTTTTTGTACACCCTATAATCTTTCCCAGCAAGATTTCACATTCCTGGAGGCAGCTGCCGTGCTGGCGATCTATTTTCTCCGTTACCTCTTCACCGAGCAAGAAGACCTCTCTGGCCAGCTTGCACTCTGGGCGGTTAAACTCGTCCTGCGTGTACGACTCTGGCATACCGTCGACGACTGACATAAGTTCCCGCTGCTGTTCCCTGTCGCTTTTCATGTTGTTAAACAGCACGCACCTGTATCCGCATTCCTCGCAGAGAGTTTTGAAATCTCCCGTTTGGTCCCTGCACCAAGCCTCGAATGTCCTATGACTTGTTTCATCTTTGCTAAAGTTGTCTCCATAAGTCATCGCAATGACGCCCCGTCTCTTGAAGACATCCTCGCCAAACATTGACTTGACACACTGGACGGCGTCTTTTTCCTGTTTGGTGAATCGCACGCCAAACTTCAGGACAAAGACGATCGCGTGGAAGCCTACAATATCCCGCCAAGACCATATGGAACGAACAGAATGTGATAAAGTTTCGGCACCTCCAACGATGTCTTCGCCGGTGTCGCCTATGCCGGTTCCATCCACCACATTTACTTGCTTCCCATCCACTTGTGTGGAGTGGTGTGCCACGGAGTCCGTCGAGGAGTCGTTGGCGGTTCTTCTGGGAAACAGGTCTTTGCCGATAATAGTGTTTCCGGTTGAACTTTTTCCATTTCCGGTTCTGCCTACCAGAAGAAGGTTCATTTCCTTGCGCTCACTTCCAACCATTTTGTCAGACTCTGTTTAAAGAAAATTAAATTCATTTGTCATGAGGCTACAAATCAAAAGGACACAGCAATATGACACATATCAACAAGACACAACTAAACAGGACACAGCACCAGGACACAAATCAACAGGACACATCAATTGGACAAAGGCACATGACACAAAGCAACAGGACACAGAAACAGGACACAAATGAATAGGACAAAGGCACATGACATAAATCAACATGACAAAGCCACAGGACACAAATCAACAGTATAAAGCCTCAGGACACAAATCAACATGGAACAGCCCCAGGAAACAAATCAACATGACACAGCCCCAGGACACAAATCAACATGACACAGCCACAGGACACAAATCAACATGACACATCCACATGACACAAATCAATATGACACATCCACATGACACAAATCAACATGACACAGCCACAGGACACAAATCAACATTACAAAGCCTCAGGACACAAATCAACACGACACAGCCTCAGGACACAAATCAACAGTACAAAGCCTCAGGACACAAATCAACATGACACAGCCCCAGGACACAAATCAACATGACACATCCACATGACACAAATCAACATAACACAGCCACAGGACACAAATCAACAGTACAAAGCCTCAGGACACAAATCAACACGACACAGCCTCAGGACACAAATCAACATGACACAGCTACAGGACACAAATCAACATGACACAGCCACAGGACACAAATCAACATGACACAGCCACAGGACACAAATCAACATGACACAGCCACAGAACACAAATCAACAGGCATCGGTATTAACACCTTGTACATAACCAGGCTAAACAACTACTGAAAAATAATTTAATCGCCCAACACTGCCTAAAGAATTGTTTTTTCCCCCAACACTACTTAGTAGCGCACTGAGGGTCCTGCAAGACGTGGCACGTTCCATCGGCGTCGCTCCAACAGGGGCGCAAAATATGAGAGACGGATATCGATTTTTTTCCATTAAAAATAATTTTCGCTCATGTCAACATGTTTAGTAGTTTACATGTCGTTAAAAACATACAAGGCTGACTCAACAATATAATTTCCAAATCAAATCTCTTGTTGGAAGGACTTAAGTTTCTTCTCAATTCAAATCGAATCCTCTAGCATCCCAGAGTGCCATAACACCGTTCTCCAAAACGTTCGTTTGCCAAATGCTTTTAAGAAATTTTAAATTATGTCTACCTGTCAGGTAGTTTAAATCGTCTTTTATATAAAGGCTTGTTTATTTACTTATTTATTTTTTGTTTTGATTTAAAACAAAGCAAACACTTTTCTTTTCACTTTAAAAATGACCAAAAAAAAAAAAAAACCAAAGCCGTGGCTGAAACTTTTGTCATCTTATCAAATCTCTGTTTGTATTACACATATATTTTTATTTCAAAGCTAGTTATTCCAAAATATTTCGAATAAAGCTTAATTAATGCAACAAAGCAAAAGTTAACCCTGAAACCACTACTGTGACTCGAACTCTGCAGGAGAGTTAATCATTTGTAAAGCTATTAAGCAAAAAAAAAAAAAAAAACTCAACCGACAACAAAAACACAAAAAAATTCGAACTCTGCAGGAGAGTTAATCATTTGTAAAGCTATTAAGCAAAAAAAAAAAAAAAAACTCAAGCGACTTCACAAACACAAAAATAATGGGCTGCTCCACTGTTCCAGTATTAAACAGAAACTCGTCCCTCTCCCCCATAGACATCGACGAGGCCATGACAGGCAATTCAGGCTCATACCTGCTCATTCCTGCCCAAGTCAATCAGGGACTGGAACAATCTTTCAAAACGAACGGTTGAAGCGACAACACTAGACACATTTGTGTCTATTGCCTCAAGCCTTCAAACCCCTAGTGCATGATTCCCTCACAAAGTGGCACTAGAAATCAGTAAAATTTCCTCATCAACACCAGGAACAGAAATATTGAAAATCCCATCTACATGCATAGGAGCCAAAATGATCAATAAATTGATCGTGGGCCCTTAAGATATTGAAGAAGAAGACACGACACGAAATAACCATACTTACAACTATAAACACAAAACAACATATTACACGCAGCAGGACACAACAACAGGACACCAATCAACAGGCGGGCAGGACACAACAAGCAGGACACTAATCAACAGGACACGAAACAACATCATCGGTATGTAAAACAATAGGACACACATCACACAAACGAAAATAATATATATTTATACACAATCTAACCATCTTACCTGGCTTTCTTTTGACAAAAGGCACTCAATGTTTTCAGTCAACCGACGGCAACTCGTCGAACGTAACCGTCACCATTGATTCAACTGCGACATATGGCCTCACGGAGTTGGCCCGGGGATGTTTTCATGCGAAGTCGCTCCCCCTAGCCAGCCAACATCTGCTGCAGAACGGAGCCACAAATGTGATGACGCAGAGCACACATACAACGTAGCCTTTCCACCAGATGGCGCGTGGCACGTGACCCCATTTCAATTTGTTTGGTCGATATTCCCTTCATCTGTCCCATTCGTTCGCCGAAAAGGAAGGCCACTTAACATAAAATATAAGAAAGCAGAAGATGAGGAGTTCGTAACGATGACACAAATGAAACTCGGCTTTGATTAGTTTGACTGTTTATTGTTTCTTAACCAAGCTCCTTAAAATTGAATAGTCCATTTAGTGTTGTGCTGGATAATTGGCAATGATATATGGCGCCATAATGGTGCATTGTTTGCGTGTCTCTTTAAAAGAAATAAATTAAATTTGGGGTATTTGGTAATGACAGGTTACATTTTCCGCTTATACAATACGAATCAAATTCCCAGTATATTCACTATTCATATTACTGCTTTGGTCAGAAATGACTGCGAATTTCTACGACTTAACACTAGACGCTATAACTGATGGTATACACAGTTCCACTTTTCACGATATATGTTGTGCAGGCGTGCACGAATTATGACGTGGCAGTGCAGCTCCGAAGACATGATGTGTTACAGTCATCATTGCCTGGATACTGGACCATTGCGAGTAAAACCTGCACCTGGAGAGGAAGCCTGGGTTTAGGCGCACTTTTCCCAATTTTGCGCGAAAAAATAACGATTTAGGCGCAACTTAAAGATGTCACCCTAACCCGGTAATAGTGCCTCATTCGCCCAATGGCTTTACAAGATATCTATATTATAGATCATTTAAGAGGACAGCTTTCAACTCTACCCTATTTAATTTTTGTTCCTATCCAAAATCTCGCAAAGACTCTAACACACAGTTTAGTCCGTTCGGCTGTGGAGAATGTTGTCAAAATAAAGTTGCACTTCAGAGTAAGTGCTATAGCGTAGCCAGTGGGGAGCAGAGGTGGCACCCGCTCCCCCTGTTACCATTTTGTTAAAAAATATGTGGGGCCTTTTCAAAAGTACATTTTCAGTTGGTCGAAAAAAAAATTACAAGAAAAAATGTGGGCGTAATTTCTGAAAAAACAGGAAACACTACTTAAGATGACTTTAAGCATATTAGCGTAATCTTCAGCTCGCCTTGGTTTCATCCTAAAATATAGCACACATCACAACTGAACGGTGTAGATTATAAAGAAAAGCGCTCTAGTGGAAGACCTCATAGCTGCTCGAAGATAAGCCGCCCGGCTAACCATTCAATTCTGTGACGGTAACATCCAGCACCTGTCTTGTACCCGCGGCCCTTGCGAAGGTGGCTGACAGGACAGGATGACCTTTTGTTTTGTTTACAACTGATTTAAAAAAAATAAATAAATAAATCATTATATAAAATAGTCCTCCCAAAGAATTAAAAGTTGAAATAAAGAGAAATAAAAAACAAAACAAAGGAAAACAGCATAACTATTTTATTTGCAACAACTAAAAATTAAGGATTTCCATACATTTTCAGTAGCCTTCTCGGGATTTGGAAAATATAAAAGGCACAGGTCATTTTAAAGAATATTTCTTTTAATTCAATTAATAACTGTAACAAAATCGATTAAAAAAATACTTCAATTTTGTACATGCATATTCAGTTATATCCATTTATTTTTGCTACGGGAAGCCAATGCTTACATGCAACAAGGCTGCCGATAACAAAAAAAATAATTTCGCTTACAAATACCGGTACTTTTAACTTTATTTTTTTTCAACCTGGATGCAAATATCGTTTTGATACCACGTTTTTATCACAAGATGTCTGGCTTTTTAAAGATAGAAATCACCACATATTGTAAATGTAAAAATGTTAAAACACACTTGGGACGTTAAGCATTTGATCAAAAAAGGTGTTAAAAAATTGAGTATTTTTTCTATTTGAATGTTAATTGCAATTTTTAGCAAGAGAATATATTATAATCATAATTTTAGTACTGATAAAAAAAATTCAATTAAAAAAAAAGACTTTAGATTCTATTATGTCAAAATAACTCAAAATGTTAACACGAAGAGTTAAGTCTCAGTACTGCCCCAGCGAAGTATGAGCACTTCCACAGGGAAGTATTCAGGAGTGCATCAGTAAAGTTTGAGCACTTCCTCAGTGAAGTACGAGTACTGCCTCAGTGAAGTCTGAGTACTGCCTCACTTAATTGTGAGTACTGTCTCAGTTAAGTCCGAGTACTGCCCTAATGAAGTCTGAGACTAGCTAACTTTCTTCTAAGTACTGCCTCAGTTAAGTCTGATACTGGATCACTTAATTCTGAGCACTGCCTCAGTTAAGATTAAGTATCGACACCGCGAAGTCTGCGATTGGCTGACTTAATTGTGAGTACTGCCTCAGTGAAGTGCGATTAATGCCTCATTGAATGACGAGTACTGCTTCGGTGAAGTACGAGTATTGCCTCAGTGAAGTCTAAGTACTGCCACGGAGGACTTAAAGTTTTAAATGATGATGCCTATCTAAAAGTATATTATCATTATCACCTCAGAAATAACGCAACAGCAATGAAAATATTCCTGAAAGAAAAAAACAAACATAAGGTTTTATTGATACAGATTATATCACTAACTTTCCAGGTTTTGGATAATGTTTTTGGAGGCTTTTAACAACTTGAAGTAGACATAGATTTTGTTCCTCATTCTTGCTTATAGACGTGCTGAAAATAGTAGCAAGTGCTACCTGTCTCTCTTTCGCTATTTATTATCTCTCTCTCTCTCTCTGCAATGCCAGTATATTGTGAGTGATGTTACAACTGTCTTTGCTTGTACAATAGTGTCTCTTTTTTTCCCCATGTATAAAAAGTCTTCATGTAGGAAGGTGGTACCCAGAATAAAGTTTTTTGAAGATGGGGTAGAGGATAGATCAATATTTATAATGTTTTTATTTGTTGTTAGCACTATCATTACCAGTATATCGTGTGGCTCGATTAACTCCACTTGATGCAGCTATTATGAATTGCGCAACGGCAATTCCCACTTTGTTTCAATGTTTACTTTGTCAGAAAAGAAGACTAAAGCATTAGTTACTGACCCAAAATAACTTAAATGTCGACCTGTTGCAATCAATCTGGATCTGGACACAGACGTTTGAAGTGGATTGATAATGACTGTCACAGCTTTTTAACTATGAGACAATGAGTTCTGTTTTTTCACACTTCAATTTTATTAAATTACTCACAGAATGACAATAAACATTTGACGTAAAATCATAGCTACTCCAATACAACAGAATAATCTTCATACTTTCTTGTACTTACTTGTATGTATGCCTTTTTACCCCGTCTGGGTCATGGGCCGTCCACAAGAATTTTGCACTCATCATAGTCCTGTGCTTTCCTTTCCAATTGATTCCAGGTGTATCCCATATTTTGCGTGTCCGCCTCTAGCTCGCATCTCCATGTATTCTTAGGCCTTCCTCTTTTTTATCCCTGGGGATTTCATGTTAGGCATTGTCTGGTGGTGCTTTCTGGTCTGTGGGTTTTCGGAGAGTATGCCATATCCACCTCCACCTTTTCTTTTTGATAGCTTCATCAATGGCCACTTGCTTTGTCCTTTCTAGTACATCTTTGTTGGTGATGGTATTTGGCCATTTGATGTTAAGGATCTTTCTGAGGCATGTGTTTAGGAATGTCTGCACCTTCTGTGTAATGCTCGCTGTTGTCTTCAAAGTTTCTACTCCGTATAGTAGGACTGTTTTGACATTTGCGTTAAAGATTCTGACTTTGGTTTTCAGTTTCAGCTCCTTGGACTACCATATCTTCTTTAATAGTACACATGCTGATCTAGCTTTTCCAATTTTAGCTCTTACGCCCGCGTGGATCCGCCATTTGTGTCTATGTCTAAGTAATTGACAAAAAGCATTAATATTTGTCAGGCAGGAAAGGCACTGGGAGAAGTGGAGTCCCTCAATTGCTATACGTTCTTGTACTCTCGTCAAAAAACTCGTATTCGTAGAGCCTATTCAAGCATAGTCTCATTACCGAGATGTTAAGAATTCCAATCAAAGTCAAATTCATTTTATTTTTTCGGATGGGGACCACACGATGCTCCAGGAGAACTTTAATACAACTTTATTGTGTAATGATTCATAGAGCTAAAACAACAAACATTTTACAAACTCTAAAAACATAGACTTCCTTAAAAATCCTTTATAAAATGTAATATCGATCACTGGGGGTGGGGATAAACATTCGACAAAACATGCGGACAAGTAACGCAGTTTATAAGAATCCCAATTAGTGTACCACTCCCCCCCCTACCATAACCCCACATGGCTCGCAACCGCATATTTTTTTCACGCCACTGAACTATATAATATTCTAATGAACCACCTGGTTATAAACTTTAAACTTATTTCACCAAGAATTTTTGAAAAAACAAAAGAAAATATTACGCACCAAATGCACTTGAGATTTAAAAAAAAAAGAATCTCATTTATCAGAATTATTGGAAGTTTCTTTTTACCTTCTCTTGAAAAACAGGAAAATCTGAATTTTGGTGGTGGTTGTCAGGGGATTAGGGCTTTCAATTTAGAAGAAAAAAATGCTGTCATCGGTAGTGAGTCTATGTGCCAAGTTTCAGCTCGATATTTTGACGGGAAGTGGGTCAATTAGCCGTCCGAAGATTTTAGCCCAGTACGCCAACTAATCAGCCAGCCAACCCAAAAAAAGAAAGCGAAGTTAATATAAAGGATTCATTAATACACAATGAGATGTGCCAATCTCTTTTTTTTATACATTTTAAAAAGATTTTAAACAAATTGAACTCACACTCTCTCCGATTTCACATCATTATTCTCTCAATTAGTTCCACCACATGCTTCTCTCTGTCACTTCCACCAACTGCGTCATGAACCTGTCCTCGTGTACTATTCACCAATTCTCAATGTGTCTCTACACGACGACGCTACCACAAGAGTCTCATCAGAGTTCCCACACATTCTGTTAACCACGTAGGTTGTTCGGAGGATAACACCTCTGGCGCAGAAAGATACAGCAGATCTTATACGAAACGTCGCCCCTGCCACTAAAGTGAGCCCTGCTAAACTTAAACGAGAAAAGGTGGTAGAAATGTAGGTTCCCTTGACCCCTGGCTTGCCGGCCAGCATGTTGATGGCTGCATTCATGTCGTCGATAAGACCTTGCAGGTTACTCGTGCCGTTGTTCAAACGCGTCAGATTTTCCTTAAACAGCGCAAGTTCAAAGTTCAACTTGGCGTCGTCTTCACCATTTTGTTTTAAGAACGTGTTAACTCTGTCAATCAAATCTTTTGTTTGCGTTGTAAGCAAATTGAGCCGACTGTCTTCTGCTTTTTTATAATCGTCCTCCATGTATGGTGCATAGTTGCTGAGACATTTAAGATCGTTAAGGGTTTGTTTAAAATCTTGAACCTGAATGGTTTCCAAACTCTTCGCTCTGTTGTTAAACAGCACACATCTGAAGTCACATTCCTCTAGAAGTTTTTGGAAATCTCCCCGTTGATCTTTGCACCAGGCTCGAAATTTCTCGCGGCTGTAGCGTGGTTCCTTCTCAAAGTTGTCTCCATACGTCATCACGATGATGCCCCATCTCTTCAAGACATCCTCACCAAACAGAAATTTAATCATCTGGACGGCGTCTTTTTCTTGTTTGGTGAATCTGACCCCGAATTTCAGCACCACAATGATGGCTGTGAAGATCTTACCACACAGTTCAAAGGCGGACTCACATGACACCACAGCAGCCGATTCTCCCCCGATCAAATCTTCTGCCGTGTCACCAATGCCAGAGCCGTCTACCACTGTTATTGAGCCAGCCTCACTTTTTTCAGGGGAGTCTCCAACTTGCGGTTCCTCGACTCCACGTAGTGTGAAATACACCCCGCCTAAAATTGAGTTTCCCGTGGAACTTTTCCCGTTTCCGGTTCTCCCTACGAGAAGTAGAACAGTGTCTAAACGAACCATTCTCCTGGGATTAGCCTAAAAATAAATTTAGGAAAGGATCATTGTTATAAAAAAAGAAACAATGCTGAAAGTATATTTTTGTTACGTGAGTGACTAATGTCTACATTAAAATTTAACAGTCCCCCAACTCTCAAATGTCTTTAAATTTCACATTGCTTGATTCCCATTCACTTTTAAAAACATTCAAAAATGCAACACACATATTATATTTGTAAATATCAGATTAGATAATGTGATATTTAAATATATATATATTTGGAGTACCATTAAGTATAAAAGAGACATAATTTGTCGAAACAAAAATTAGGAAAAAACAATGCTAAAAAACTTAAAGCACTTTTGTAACACGAATGTATCCAATTTTACAGTATGTTCATCCGTTGACATGATTCTTTATAACATGCAATTCTAAGCTGAGCAGAACATACACACTTATAGGTCACTACTGACTCCTGAACGCATTACTGTTAGAGTTGAACCAGGAAGTTTTCCCTTGTTTTTTTTTTTTTTTTTGGGCACTGCCGCCTCGGTGTGATCAGCTCATCCCTGGCGCCGCGTAACTAATGTTGATAATGGGGGTTAGTTGGTTTGTTTCTTTGTAGCGTGGTTAATATTTCATGTTTATTACGGAGTTAATTGGCATGTTTATAACTCGGTTAGGTTCATGAGCCTCTATGGAGGAAAACGATACAATTAAAATAATAAATAAATAATAAAGTTTTAATTTTTTTTTAAATTAAAAAAAAAACAACCATTAAAAAGTTAGATTAATTTAAACGATAATTTTTGGAGCGAGAATTTTGTTTATACCTATGCCACCTGGTAAAATGACATTACGTTTTCAATTGCGGTGCATTCATCCCTGATCAAAACACTAAAATCATCATGTCTGAGAAACCTGGAGTCTATTTCTTTGCCACGGAGCCCAGGTGAAATAAAAAAATCGACACACTACAACACCAACAAATATATTTTATCAAAACATTTGCCTATAAAGGAAAAACTTCCACGATTCATCAATATATATATATATATATATATATATATATATATATATATATATATATATATATATTTATATNCAGTGCATTTGTGACCAAAAACAACAACAACAACAACAAACTATAGATCAGTTGAGTCTTGCTGGGAGAAGGTAAAACGGAGCAGACTCTCCTTGGAAAACACGTTTACATCTCCGAGTCACTAGTTCCGATGTGTACAGTGGTACCTCGATATACGAATTTAATTCGTTCGTAACCTTGCTCGTAAGTCAATTTGCTCGTATCTCAAAGCAGTGTCCCCCATTGAAATTAATCGAAATGCCATTTATCCGTTCCAGCCCCCCCCCCTCCCATAATGCCACCTCGGTTGTTTTTGTTAGGTGTTTTTGAATAAGAAAAAATGTATTTTTAGATGCCCAATATTGTATTAAAATATAATAAAGGGCGAAGGAGCTTCACTTCGTTCACTTACTGGCTACACTGTTAATGCTAAATTCTTTCGGTCACTTTAACTCACATACTGGTTACACTCTTAATGCGTTCACTTTATCCACAAACTTAATGGAAATTAATTAAACGTCACTGAATATAATTGAACTTAAATGCCACGGTACATTTTTTTTTTTTTACTTTCGCTTAATTTTCGCCACTGCAGCCGCCCGACCTGCTGATCCCGGCACTGGTATCTCAAATATTTCTCGTATCTCAAAGCAAAACATCGCTCGCTCGACGGCCCGTATCTCAAAAATCTCGTATGTCGGGGTACCATTGTGTAGGCTAACGACTATTTAGATGGTCTCACTGAGCATACACCCAGCAGCTTTATAAAAAAAAGCATTCAGTGACACTGTAATAGGATATTTATTTTTTTTTAAAAAGGAGGAAATAAAATTAAAAATGTCCTGAAAGATTCTGCTGACAATAGACTAATAAGAAAATTAAAGAACTAAAAATTAGCAACGAAAAACATGTCTTTTAGGTACTTACTCTATTCTATTTTTAGAATATAATATATTGCTGATAGCAGATACTGAGTATGGAGCATGCGTAACCGTCCTACACAGACCGTATCTTTTGACACATTGCTAACACACGCAGACAGATACGGGGTTATATCGTACAACTTAAACACACACACACTTCGCGTAATCAGTCTCATACGGACATATCGTTAATCACAGCTATACTGATTTAGACATGTTAATTTCAAGATAGACTGACATAGAAACATAGTTCTTCCCTGATAGATTGACATAGACACATAGTTAATCCCTGACAGATTGACTCAGACACATAGTTCAAACCTGATAGATTGACACAGACACATAGTTCATCCCAGCTAGTTTGACACAGACACATAGTTCTTCCAAGCTAGATTGACGTAGATATGAACTATTAGCGTAGACCCAGTTCTACCCACCATGACATGTGCTGTACTGCATCCGACCCACAGACTAACACACAGTTAGAGTGACACAGAAATGTGTTATACTCACTACTATACTGAAGGTGACACGAAGAATACACACTGTTAGACTGACACAGACCAAGCGTGGTTACTTCCCCCTTGATGCACGGGCGCCACCTGGTCCCATCAAGCCGTTTTCAGGGTTAACAATTCGTTTTGCAAGACACCTTGCGGCCTTTTTAAATATTTCTCATGTTCTCCGAACGATCTATTTATGACATTTCAGTCATTCGTGATGCTGATATTTTCCAGTCATCGGTAATACACTTATATCTAGGCCGCCCACAGTGGCGTATGAAGGGAGGGGGTGTGGAGGGGTGGCCCGCGCTGGCGGCACCTTTTTAGTTTTTTTTATGGAAGGGTGACATTTTCAGCCAATTGTGAGTCTTTTTGATTATTTTTTTGTGTGTTGAAAATCGCGGTCCGCCCGGGTCGCCACCAACCTTAGATACGCCATTGGCCGCCCATGCCGATTATAAGAGCCTAAATAATAATAGTAGTTTATTCCCAGCTTATCTCTTAAGGCGGCCCTAGGAAAAATACCGAAGTTTGCTTTTTTTTTTTTTTCCTTGGGGAATTCCCCTTGCGTCAGTCTGCTTTCCCAGGAAAACAGATGGGGATAAAGTTCGACCTACTCTCGCAAGCAGCAAGCTGTTCAGGTGTGTGACTGTGTCGAGTGTGGACAGCTGGAGTGTGTCGCTCCCAGTGTGTAGTATTTCCTCAGTTCAGTTGTGAAACTCGAAGTCTTATCGTTCAAGACTGCAATCCGTGTCGCTTTTATGAACTGATTAGTCACCTCGAAGACACAATCGGAATGATGGCTGAAGTTCAAGGTAAGTCCAGGTACTTTAGGCTTGGGCTTGAGGTGCTATGGACGATGGTACCTGTGTCGTGTGTCGTCCAAAAGCACCAGGGCATTAGTAATACCGGTGTTAAATTATCGTCTCAAAAGCCAAACTCTCTTTTAAAAGGAGAACGATGATTAATCAGTTACACTAGAACGCCTCACAATTGAGTGTGTGTGTGTATGTATCTCTGTGTGTGTGTGTGTGTGTGTGGGTGTGCGGGAGTTCGGTGTTTCCTTCAGACAATGTCTTCCGGGTTGGGGGAGGGGGGAGCATTTCACATTCGTCGGCAGTGTCAGTGGCGTAGAAAGGGGGGATACTACAGGGGGAGGGGGGGTTCCGACCCCCGGAGGAGTGTTTTTATTTATTTTATAGAGGCGATGGCATTTTAGGCCGGCGGAAGAGTGGGAATGAGACGGCACATGTCTCCACCCCACCCAAGGTGGCAGTTACCTGAGCTACACTACTGGACAGTGACAAAATTTGAAAAAACGGTGACCAGGTCCAGTTATAACTCCACCCTCTTTCACCAACACACACTGAATTCAGTTCTGTTGAGGGTATACTTTTTTAATGCAGGTTTATTTTTATCCATGGACCCTCTATATAGCATATATATATATATATATATATATATATATATATATATATATATATATACATACACAAAAATAAAAAAAAAAATGTCTGTTAGAAAACAAAAACAAAAACAATAACACACAGAGTGTGCTTTCTTAAAGTATATATATATATATATATATATATATATATTTATATATATATATATACATACACACAAATAAAAAAAAAATGTCTGTTCGAGAACAGAATCGTAATCACTAACATCCAGAGTGTGCTTTCTTAAAGGGGCAGAGACTTTCAATTTTATTAGGGTGGGGTGGGGCAGAAAGTGAGGTCAGAGACCGCTACCGAATGTAAATTTGGAGGGGCCTGGGGAGTGGTTTACTCCGCCCCAATAGTAAAAAAAAAAAAAAATTAAGATCAAGGGCTACTATGAGGCGTATACTTGATTTTAGTGTTTCTTTCAGAACCTTGGTTCCGGAGAGGGGGAGGGCATTTCAGGAGGAAAGGGCATCTATAAGCGCACACATTGCCATACATAACTTGAATTCATAGCGATTGTGGCGTACCCCACAGTTTTTGTTTTGCCTAAACTATATTTCTCTCTCTCACTCTCTCTCTCTCTCCCAGCCCCGTATTGTCATATTGATCGGGATTGTGGGGAGGCGTTTGAAGAGGAGGTATAACATTAGTCGAGGGCGTAGTAGGCTCCCGAGCAAATGCTAGGTTTACGGCAGAGATGGGGGTCATTGAGCCCTTCCCCATAAAAGTTTTGATAATTTTAAAATGCATTGATTCATTTTAGCGCATATCTGAATTTGTTCTTGCACCATTGAAAACCAGGTCGTGCTTTAAGGCTACTTTTATAGTTGCTACCAAATATAAATGTTTATTATTTATTTCAATAAACTGGTTATATTTATAAATACATGATACACATACAGAAGGGGATCCGCCACGAAACGGAAGTGTACTAATTACCTTCCTAAATATACCCCAAGTTTTAGAAGACACAGAAAGAGGAAATTAAATTGGTTTTGGAGTAAAACATTAGATGACAACTTTTACAAACTGTTTGTAAATGGCAACAATTATGCTAATTTCTTTAGTTTTAAAACATCGTGACAATGTTCATTGGCGCTGGGCGCCATCATGAGAAAGCTCCACATACTGAGCGTTCTCAAATTGTCATTTTTCATGCAAACTATCTTTGCAATTGTACATTTTTTGGCGTGAGGGGGCGCCTAAATTCGGGATCGGCCCAGGGCGCATCCTTTGCTTGCCACGGCACCGCCATTATTGATGTTTCAGTTTTCGAGTGCCGTACTGCCACGTCTTATTCATGTAAGAAAATACGAACATTTAGTTTTATTCTCATGGTTAAATCGTTAAATTTTATTGCCAATTTCAAACTATTATATTCCTGTTTTTTTATCCTATACAATCCTGTAATAAAAAAAATAGATCCCTAAAAATGTGTTAACATTGGATTTTGTTTGATATGATTTGGTCTTAAGCAGTGTATCATTATTTTGTACTGAAGTATTTTTTACGTTAACAAAGACTTGCAAAGGAACATTCCCGTGTTTAGCTATCCTAATATACACATACGTATCCTTGCATCATTGTATTTTATATTTTATTGTATTTATTGATTTTTATTATTACAAACAGGTGAAGACATGCGTACATTATTGCTGGTGGGAAGATCTGGCAACGGGAAAAGTTCTGTCGGGAACTCCATAATCGGAGAAAAAAAGTTCGAGATAAGATCCAAACATCAATTTGGGGAACAGTTGAAGAAACAAGTGTTCACGAATGCAGGGGTCAAGGTTGTTGATTGTACAGGGATAGGTGACACTGGCTCTGACATGGTATGTAATGTCCATTCTGTCTTACAGTCTGCTCGTGAAGTCGTGGAGAACTGTGTTCGTGGGTTCGATGCCCTGATATTCGTCATGAAATACGGCGTCCGGTTCACCAAACAAGAGAAAGACGCCGTACAAATGGTCAAGTCGATCTTTGGAGAGAACGTGTTCAGAGATTGGGGGATTTTAGTTTTCTCTTGTGGTGACCAATTTGATCTCGATACGAAAGATGATGACATAAAGTTTGAAGTTTGGTGCAAAGAACAAACTGGTGACGTAAAACGATTATTTGAAGAGGTGGACTACAGGTGCGTTGTCTTTGACAATAAGTCATATGTCACATTCAAACAACGCAAACAGCGCGAAGAGCTAATGGGATGTGTTGAAAAGATCCAAGAGGATAAACGTAGATGTTACTCTGTGTCTGACTTTGAGAGAGCGATGCGCAGTCGCGAAATCCTTGTCGTGCAATATGAACTGGAAAGTTTAAAATCAGAAACTGACACACTGATAAGAGAAATGAATCAATCTTTAAATCTTACCCCAGTACCAAATGACCACGATGTCCACTTAGAAAATATGCTCCAGGAGCTATTACGCCACGGACAAAAATTAGAAGAGATGGATCGAAACACGGGGATGCTTGAATCTTTACAGACTCAGGTGCAGGCGCAGGTAACAATGTTACAAGGGAAGATAATCATGAGAAAAACAAAGACAGAGGAAGCGAGCGTACCGACGACTGATCCTGTGCAGGAGTTGATTCTTGGGATGAAACGTGAACCAGGAACGACAGTAAAAAGAACGCTTTCCTTTTTAGTCACATATTTCCGTCAGTGAATTCACGCATGTCATGCAATTTGTGAAGGGTGATAATTACAATACGAGAAGGTATTTAAAGTCAATGTAAATTCTTAAAAACAAAATGTGTTTTTAAGAAGGTGCATTCACTTAAATCAGTGGTTCTCAACCTTCCTAGTGCCGCGACCCTTTAAATACAGTTTCTCGTGTCGTGGCGATCCCCAGCCACACAATTATTTTCGTTGCTTCTTCATAGCTGTAATGAAATGTATTTTAAGATAGTCTTAGGCGACCCCTGGAAGAGGGTCGTGCGACCCCCAAAGGGGTTGCGACCCACAGGTTGAGAACCGCTATCTTAAATGATGATTACTTTTTTTTCAACAAAATGAATTTTAAATTTTTTTTTTTTATTTTTACTTTTCGATTGATGACAAGTTGATGAAAAGATTATGATCTTTTCTCTTTGAATAAAGTGAACATGCCCTTTCAGGCTTTTCAAAATAAATAAATTATACTTAAAGGGAAAATCAGCTGGACGAGACCGGTAGAGAGGAGGCGAGATCGCAGAGAAGCTATTGGTGTTTACAGACAGAAACCAAGGGACAGAATTATGAGACGGAGGCAGATAAAAAAAAAATGTTGAGAAGGACCTACATCAGCTGGAGGTCAATGCGTGGCGCTGAAAGGTCATCGAACTGTGTAAATGGCAGAATGTTGTGAGCCGACGACAGACCTCCCAAAACGCACAGCACCTTTGATGATGGAATACATGAAGGAGGAAAGACTTTAGGGATTTAATGAGATCATACAAGGGCATTTCTTTTTTTTTAAAGCCCGAATGCCGATTTTACCAAGCGACGATTGTTCGTGGTGGGGAACGGGGGTCTGAATCTACCCATTGTATTTGATATCGCTGCCATCACCATCTGAAAAAGCCATACAATCAAAATTGTGTGTGTCTGGGTCCAAGAAGCTTTCGAACTGCTAACCTTGATAAAGATAATATTTAGTCCCAATTTTTTTTTATATCAAGGCCACCATGTTAAACTCTCTATGCCATTTTCTTCTCGAAATAAAGCAGAAAGTAATATCTTATTTTGTGACCTATATTATCCGTGTAATTTTGCTCAACATCTTTGTGAATATATGATTTACAAATTTCATTGCAAAAAAAAAAAAAAAAAAAAAAAAAAAAAATCTTAGGGTGTGTGTGTGTGGGAGTGAGTGCGTACCTGCATGTGTGAATGGCCGTCTGCGTTCATGTACGTGTGTTTGCGTGAGTGTGTCTCAATGTGTAGGTGTGTGAACAGTTATGTAGGATTTTAAAAAATATGAGTTTTTACAGCAAGATACGAAGTAAAAATGGCTAACTTTCTGAGCTATTGCAAGGGATAATATAGGAATGTTACTATCGGTCTTTGGTTAAAAAAACCGGTTATACGAATTAGAAAACCGGTTTTAATTGCATGGGATAATATAGTGAGGTTAATTTCAGTTTGTGGTTAGAAAACCGGTTATAGAAATTATAATTAATTTTTTTTTAACAGTCTGTAGATTTACCAATCCGTTCTCAACTGTTCCATAAAGAAAATTCAGATTGACATATTTAAAAAAAAAAAAAAAAATGAAAGCACCAGTTGAATTTTTTCATAAAGGTCAAAACAACCCTGATTTTTGATTCTTTCAGTTTGTGGTTATAAAACCGGTTATAGAAATTATAATTAATTTTTTTTTAACAGTCTGTAGATTTACCAATCCGTTCTCAACTGTTCCATAAAGAAAATTCAGATTGACATATTTAAAAAAAAAAAAAAAATGAAAGCACCAGTTGAATTTTTTCATCACGGTCAAAACAACCCTGATTTTTGATTCAGTACGGTACCAGCACTTGACCTATACTTTTCTACATTATACCGTATGTTGTTGGGTTTTTTTAGTTTAGTTTTCAAACTTTTACATAAGTAATAATTATACATTGAAATATCTTCATTTAAAAAAAAAAAATAATAGCTTCTTAAGACCTGGGAAAAACAAAAATCAATCGTTAAAATTTTTGGATAAAATCAACAACCAGTTTTGGTTTCCAACCGAACACAGGACTTCCGGTCATCCCTTAACGTCAATAAAATAAACCACTAAATTGTCGAAAGGTCCAATTTGGCTAACATAAGTCCTACTATTTTTTTTCTTCTACACTTAAACAAAATGATCGCTCACTTCTGGAATGTTTTTAAAAACTGTAAAAAAAAAAAAAAAAAAAAAAAACAGTCTGCACGAAAAGGGCTTGTCATTTAATGGCGGAAATAAATCTATTATTAGAACTGCTGTAATTATCCGGGTTCTCGTGCCGGACAAACTGTCAACGCTGTACAGTATTACTATGTTAGCGAAGTGTCCCTGAAACTAGTTTACAACTCTATTTTATATTTTACGAAATATTTTATACATTTTTTTAAAATTTCTATTTTGTGAAATGGGGCTCCATTGCGCGTACGTCACATGTAACAATGACTCTTAGATACAAGGATCGTCCGAACGGTATGCTGAAACACGTTATTAGCTTTAAGCAATTACTTGTCCGCCGACGTTCTACAAATAGTACGCTATGACGTTTTTCAGTCTGAGAAATGACAAAGCCTGTGATAAAAACACGGACCACTGCCTCAGACCGTCGCCACTGCCCAGTTCTCTTCTATTACATTGAAAATATAACGAAGAAAGTAGACAGTAAAATTTTTTATTTTTTTATTTTTTTTGTGTAAACAGGAGTCAAAGGAAATGGATGTGGCTTGTCTCTGGCAAATGTCTTTACGTAAAAGTTGCTGAACAACTACGTTATCTTTATTAGTTAATTACATATTTCATGTCATCGGAGTGGAACATATGTGCTGCACCACAGACACCCACCACTATTAAATTATATAACATCTCTAAATTTTCTTTTGCATATTTTCATTATTTACAAACAATGTATATGCATTTCTGTTTCTACAGAACGTCTCTTACAATGTACGCATTCATTTAGTGTCTTTTATCTCTTTGAATTATCGGTAAACGTTTTTTTTTACACCAACGTATAAACAGTGGTTTAAATTCGTTACAAACATTTTAATTTCTTTAAATGTCAAACGTTCATGATCTAATTTTTACTGTTGTCTTTGTAACAAAATATTTACAAATTCCATATTATTTCCTATTTTAAAAAGGACGATTTCTTTTTTAACGATTACGGGGCAGTCAAACAGTTGGTCAGTTAGCAAGATTTAGTCAAATATTTGGTCGGTTAGCAAGATTTAGTCAAATATTTGGTCGGTTTGCAAGATTTAGTCAAATATTTGGTCGGTTAGCAAGATTTAGTCCAACATTTGGTCGGTTAGCAAGATTTAGTCAAACATTTGGTCGGTTAACAAGATTTAGTCAATATTTGGCCGGTTAGCAAGATTTTGTCACATATTTGGTCGGTTAGAAATATTTAGTCAAAATTGGTCAGTTAGCAAGATTTAGTCAAAATTGGTCGGTTAGAAAGATTTAGTCAAACATTTGGGCGGTTAGCAAGATTTAGTCAAACAGTTGGCCAGCTAGAAAGATTTAGTAAAACAGTTGGTCGGTTAGCAAGACTTAGTCAAACAATTTGTCAGTTAATAAGATTTAGTCAAACAGTTGGTCAGTTAGCAAGAATTAGTCAATCAATTGGTTTTTAGCCAAGTCTTAATCAAACATAATTGTTTGTTAGCAAGACTTAGTCAAACATTTGGTAGGGGTGTGAGTCTTAGTTAAACCATTTGTATGGTGCGATACTTACGTAGACAATTAGCAGGCTGGTCAAACATTTAGTAGAGTGCGAGCACCAGTCAAACTTTATGCAGAAATACAAGAAAATGGATTAGTTGGAGAAAAGTTGATAAAAGAAATAATGTACCAAAAAAAAGTTACAGTAAAAATAATTAAAACAACAAACCCATTCATACAACCTTTAAAAATAGAACACCTTGACCTGTTTATGTGACAAAAATAACTTACTTTAAACATCCATTTAATTGAGCTAGATATTATGTATGTAGGGTACGCAGATTTTTTGGTATGATTTTATGTACAAAAATTGATTTATTGTCTACGTGCATTTTGTTTAATTGCGCCTTGACTCACTTTTTGATGAATAAATGTTTGATTACTATGAAAGGTTAAACCAAGAAAAAATTGAGTTTGTTCTACGTATTAATTGCTGTTTGTTGAAACAATTTCAACGTTTTAACTTTTCAAATTGTCAAAATTCACTTATAACTGGGGTAATAAGGGGAGAGACTGCAATCAGGTAAGCACAATATAAAATGGGTAAACAGAGTAGGGTTAAAACTGAAAAAAAAGAAACGCAACAAATCAACGAACGTTTCGACAGAAAGTCTTCGTCAGCGAACAAAACAACATAAAAAACGGTATAAAAATAAGAAATATCACTTAGCTTGGACGTAGTATCCGTGGGCAGCAAAAGAAATGTGACAGAAAATAAATGAGAGATTAATTAGGGAAGAGCGAAGGAGAAGAGGAGAAAAAAAGTACACTGCGATAGGTGAGGACGTGGAGGGGCGGAGCTAGGGTCAAGCTGTGAAAAAAACAGGACATTCATCTCATGTGGCGTCAAAGTACCAAAAGTCAGGATAAGCCTGTGTTCCAAATTGAATTTTAAAAAATCTAGTTGTTTGGCTAAATTTAAATTAGTCTATATATTAAACTGTAGACATAATATTATTTCAGTGAACTGAGCAGCAAAGATTATCGATTAATTTCTTTTGTCTAAACAGGCACGTTAAAACTGAAGTATTTATAAATCAATAAATCATGTGACAACCTAACCCAAAATATAAGAACATCAACCTGGTGGATGGGTCTGATAGTCACACCCTGGACACCTCTAAAAACTGCTATATCTCAAAATTGAAATCATTCTGTCGAATTTAAATCATACCATATTAACTGTTAATGAAATAACTACCTGTGAGCAAAATTTTACTTGGTCCAGAATTTTGTAACTGGCATTGTAGAGAAATCAGCTCTCACTGCATCGCTGCTATTAAGTTCAACGAAATCCTCTTGTGTTGACTCAGGAAGATCTTCAACTTTGACAGTGACTGTACTTCTGGCAAGTGCAACTGGGGTGTCAGGTAGATTTGGAAAATAAGATGAAATGTCGTCTGCAAGCATGTGCAAATATTCCTGCACAGGATTTATCATCGTAATCCTTTTGTCTGGTTCAATCTGATCTTACTCAAAAACAACAACAACAACAACAGATATGATAGAATACATGTAAATTTTATTTTCATCCAATTTTTTGTTTGTTTGTTTTTTTTTTTGCTTGTTTGTTTTGCAAAAGCTGAAATTTCATTTGGAATTATCGCATCTTTTCAGAAAAATCGAGGCATGTTGCATTTGCAAGATGGCAAAGATGTCAACCAAGTAAGCTTTTTTTTCTGCAATTCAATTTTATCACTAAAAACTGCTTCGAAATTACGGTCTTGCTTTCCGATGGAAAAAGCGTTTTGAGTTCACCACGAAGCTCAAAAACACGTTTTCAAACTTTTCCTTTCGACAACCAACTCACTTCAGTGTGAAATAGCAAAGCATTGTTCGGCGCATCAACTCTTTGCACAGTTGCGAAAACAGTGGACTGTCTAAAGTGATCGCCATTACAAAATTGACAGAACTTATGACGCTTTTCATTACTTCTTGTAACTCTTGTGGCAGCGTCTTCGTTGCTAATATTTGCCGATGAATCAATCAGTGTGCTCCGATGACATTAAGTGACTCATTCAGTACCAAACGTTCAAATCCAGATCGACATCCTAGCATAGTTGAAGCACCTTCTGTGCAAACACCACAAACCTTTCCCAAGTGATCATATAATCTTTCAGAAATAAATCAACTGTGTCAAAGACAGGGGTAATAAGGGGAGAGACTACAACCTTACCAACTAAGGGCTATTTCTTATTTTTATTTTTTTACCGTTTTTTTCTGTTGTTTTGTTCGATGACGAAGGCTTTCTGCCGACACGTTCGCTGTTTTGTGCGTTTATTTTTTCAGGTTTAACCCTACTCTGTTTTACTCAGTTTGTTTTGTGTTAAAGACATCACGCTCAGTAGTTGCCGTTTTTTCAAGAGGTTTGCAAAAAAGTAACTTATCTTTTAAAGTCGCCATCATTAATAAACCTCACGTAAACTAGTAACTATGAACAGTTTGAAAACGTCTGTAGATTCATTAAGCTTGATGCTAAATATTGGGAGTGGAGGAGATTTAATTTCCTGGAATTCCTGATAAAGATAAGTCAACATACATGTCATCTATTCTTCTGCGGACAGTGTCGTTAGATAAGGAAATTGCACTCAATTTCGTAACTAATTCGTCTCCGATCATAACGTGAACAATGTCTTTGGCCGCTGGCAACAGTAACTCCTCAGCAGTTGTTTGAGGTGTCATAGCTCTGGCGATTCTGAGTGCCACCAAATATGAATATTTAACGGCTGCTAAGTTTTGTTTGTGGTACTTGCCACCAGTGTCAAGTCTGGCTGTCTGGAATCCATCGGCCTTACATCTAAAATAGTTGGTATCCTTGCCGACAAAGCTCGGATGCTTGCTATCAAAATGGCTCACCGGATGCTCAGATTGAAGTTGTTCTAAGAATAATATCAGACTTTTCGTCATAAATGGCCATAAAAGTCATAACATACGACTCAAGTTTCCAAAAATAAAGGATTATAAATAAATGACTGTGTTCTAGCTATGTGTAGGAAATAGTGGAGACGTTATATCGAAGACTGAAATATAAAGACAGGACAATAAAAAGAGATCGTTTCGGCTAAGAGCCTTCCTCGGCAAACAGGACAAAAGAAGTAATATTAAGAAATAGAAAACAATCAATATACATTTTATTTTTTTGTCATCTCTATGAAAGGTTTTTTTTTTTATTTACGGAAGTTTTCATAAACCAAAACAACACTATATGTAATATCCTAAGATTTTTGCTAATGTGATGCAAAATCTGAGAGGAGATACCACGGTGTAAAATGGTGCTTCTCAGTCACAACCAAACCGGCCCATAACGTCTTTTTAATTCAAATACAAAATAAACTTGCCACCATTGTCTTGGGATAGGTGGGACCCAAGACAAGATAAAGGTCCCTTGCATCCACGGACGATTTCGATATGGGCTTGTGCACGTAGATATGATATTTTGTTCAACCAAGGTCAGTGTATGGTGAGATTAGTCCTTCAACCGGTTGATATAAATGTATGACCAAATTTCTTAACTTAGTTATAAAAATGATATAGATTGAAAGGATAAAGAGAAACAGAAAAAGAGAGAGAGAGAGAGAGAGAGAGAGAGAGAGAGAGAGAGAGAGATCGAGATCGAAAGAGAGAGAGAGATAGTGTCAGAGAGAATGAGAGAAAAGTAAAAATAAAGAGACAGAAAATAGACAAATTGGAGAAACACTGTCACAAACCAAAAAAAAATTTAGGAGAGAGAAGAAAGAAAGAGAGAGAGAGAGAGAGAGAGAGAGAAAGAGAGAGAAAGAGAGTGAGAAAGGGAGACAGAGTGAGAACAAGGGGATAGACCGAAGAGAATGATATATTCAGAGCGAGACAGCAGTTATCATCTGAGTCTTACAGCATGATAACTGCTAGTGTAATGCAGGGTGGAGATAACTTTATCATTTGCACCGTGCGCGGCGACTGTGGCAATTTTAAGAGGTAAGATATTAATTGCTTCTTATGTTCTTGATGTCGTGATAGGCTCTATACAATTTCTGTGTGCATGTTTGGTGAACTTTGTCATGGATCAATTTTCGATCTGTTGCGGCGTCTTTCTGTGCTCTAAAATGTAACATGAACAATAACAACAGATTTCATGACCTTATTTGGGTTCAAATAATAAATAACGCGATTGAGTGCTTACCATTAAGTCAAAAGGAAGGAGTAACACCTAAGTCGTCCGATGTTATGACTAAGCTGAGATGGTGAAAAGTTAGTCCCTGGAAATTTGTCATTCCGAGTGAGTTGCGCTAATGCTACCTTTTTTCATATTATAGAGTTTTTTATTCGTTATTAATGTTTCTATTAACATAATTATTTGATTTGAAGAATAGTTTGGTTTAGATGCCACGTGCCTGTTAACGGCTATCAGTTTGAGAACCATAGTAACAAAAAATAATAAAGATGTATATTTTGCTTGTCGTGTGACTGCTTCCATTTTTGAATTGCACGCAAAAAATAATTTCTATTACTGATTACCCTAAAGATTATTTAAAAAAAAAAAAAATTGCAAATACACTTTGTGCGTAATATCTTCTTTTCTTTTCCGAAAATGAACTCGTCTCAATTTAATCATGGTGCAATAAATTTTCAGTTTAAATGTGGTAGTGATATCAGATTATTAATATAGTTCATTGGCGTATAATAAAATGTGTGCCTTGGAAGGGGGGGGAGGGGGTTGGGTTAGCAATATTTGGGATTCCTAAATGTGCGGTACTGGAGTTCATATTTTTTCAAGTAACTTTAGTAGATGGGAAGTTCACGCATTGCTGTCGCCAATGTTTTGCGGGCTACAACTAGTATTAAATATTAATTATATGTTTTTTTTAATGAACTTCATTTAGTAAAATGGTAAATAATTTTTTTTAAAGATAATAACCAGCACAACAATTGCGGAGGCAATGAGTGAACTCCCTGTCTACTGAAGTTATTTGAAAAAAACATGAATTCTTAAAAATTAAATTCATTCTCTTTTTGTGGTCAATGTAACGTTCTTGTATGACACCGGGGGAGTCCTGTGTAGGCGTGCCGCCTCTGCAGGGCATCGGCCGTAGATCAGGCTTTCTGTGTAGATGTCTGGGGTGTTTTCAAAACTTCATATCATTATTATCCGGCACAGGGTTAGAAAGTGCTCTACCATCCCCGGTCCCTATCCGCAATGACTGCAGCTGGGGTCCCGAAGAGTATGCAACCTGTTGAATAGATTCATTTAGTAAAGCACTTCCCCTGTCTGCAAAGGCAGAGCTCCGCTAGTGGTATCCGAAAAGGTTTTTGCCAAGGCAGAGCTCCGCTAGTGGTATCCGGAAAGGTTTTTGCCAAGGCAGAGCTCCGCTAGTGGTATCCGAAAAGGTTTTTGCCAAGGCAGAGCTCCGCTAGTGGTATCCGAAAAGGTTTTTGCCAAGGCAGAGCTCCGCTAGTGGTATCCGAAAAGGTTTTTGCCAAGGCAGAGCTCCGCTAGTGGTATCCGTCCGAAAAGGTTTTTGCCAAGGCAGAGCTCCGCTAGTGGTATCCGAAAAGGTTTTTGCCAAGGCAGAGCTCCGCTAGTGGTATCCGAAAAGGTTTTTGCCAAGGCAGAGCTCCGCTAGTGGTATCCGGAAAGGTTTTTGCCAAGGCAGAGCTCCGCTAGTGGTATCCGAAAAGGTTTTTGCCAAGGCAGAGCTCCGCTAGTGGTATCCGAAAAGGTTTTTGCCAAGGCAGAGCTCCGCTAGTGGTATCCGAAAAGTTGTTTGCCTCGTCGCGTTGACGAAAGCCGGATCAACAATAAACTCCGGAAGGCTGGAAGAAGAACCCAACGAATGGGATCCCACCAAGAGGTTTTCATGGCATTTCTACAATGGCCGAGCTGCTAACGGCCCTCACTAAGTGCAAAACAGGAAAAGTTCGAGGCAAAGACAGAGTCTGTAATGAAAACACTCTAGCATCTGGGCAAAACAGAAAAAAACTACACTTTTATACCTGTAGCGTACGACGTATTCAACGTGAGAAAGAACTTGAAGAAATTATCAATCCAGTAGAACATAGGAGTTGACACCCGTAACGTACTCGCCTGGGCCATAAAAGAGTAGTAGGAGGGTCCCAAAATGTTAATGGAAATTTGAGTAAAACATTTCCCAAACATTGATTTTCGTGAACCGTTAACTGTTTTTCTCTTCTTTCGTTAACCCGGCATTTCGGAAACGCTGGTTTAGGACATCGTTCGGTTTTCATCTCGGTGATGATGGTCTGGCGCTCGCGTTTATTGACCACCATTGCTCCCCCTTTCCTTTTCGGGTGGTGTGGCAGGTTCCGGTAAAGTTTACGGACCGTGTCCCCTTTTGCCAAGTTTAAAAAAAACAAAAAAAACAAGGTCTCCAGAAAGAGGTCCTTTAGCCATGCATTGGAGCCCCAACTGGGTCATCGGTCGTGTCGCCTGAATAATGGCAGGAGCAAAACACGCATTCAAGTAGCAAACTTCATAGGAATCCAAATTAATTCTAGCTTCTGGGATTTTTTATTTGCACGCCCGTTAAAAGTACGTTACAGCTATACATACAAACCTAGAGAATTATTGTTTGTGATCGTGAAAATTATTAATAGTTTATATGTTTACTTCACTTTATATATTTTATTCAAAGATGGCGACCAGTGACCTACAGTCATACCGTATACTCCTGGTGGGTAAAACGGGAAGTGGTAAGAGTTCCACGGGGAACTCCATCCTTGATAAAAATGTGTTTGAATCAAGAAAACCCCATGACTCGTCTGATGGAGACGTCATCGCATGCCATTCTTCTGTTGTGGATGGAAGATATGTGTTTGTTGTAGATGGAACTGGCATAGGTGGCACCTGCGTGGATCTAAATGGCGCTGTAAAATCATTATTACAATTATTTGATTCGACAATAAAGCATGAAATGTCGCTTTTTAACGCCATTGTATTGGTCCACTTCATTCACGAAAGGTCCCAGGTAACCATGAAAAACTCTGTTCTTGAAATAAAATCAATATTTGGACGGTATGCCTTAAAAAAATGGGGTATTATAATAGTGACCTTTGGTGATTTATTTGACGTCAATAACCTCGATGAGAATATCCATTCATTTGAAGATTGGTGTCAACAACAAACTGGATATTTCCAGATTTTACTTGAGGAATGTAACAACAGATGTGTCCTGTTTGACAACAGAACAACGGACAAAATCAAACAGATGGAACAAAGGAACAAACTCATGTCAGTTGTGGACAACATAACTTCCAAGAACTACACTAGAAATGACTTTGACAGCCCTACTTGTAAACTTTCTAGACAACAGCTGATACTTATTGAGGAAGTCAATCGTAATTTGGAATCATTTGATGATAATGTGATCAATCAGCATGGCATTAACAAACAGGATCTTAATATCTTGTTAACAAAACTCCTCCAACATAAACAACGTTTAGCCAAACAGATGCCTCAAAATAAGTTCACGGATCAGCTTGTGAAGCAAGTCACAGAAGCTCTAAACATGCTACAAATAAAAATAGGAAATATTTTTGAGGAAGACAAACAAAAACCAATGACACATTCGGAATGCTCTGACACGTTTTCTTTTAAATCTGAAGAACCTACCAACTCCCTGTATAAACACCCTTTTTCACCACTTGAAGATGAATTACCAGCTACAAAACTAAGAACATCCGCTTGGGTGGGGATTCAAGGTGATAAACATTCCATTGCCAAAGGTGCACGTGAAAGACAAGAAATTAAAAATCAAAATGGTAAGTGAAGCCTAACAATCTGCTCATCTGTATTTAGTGAAACATCTTCTTGAAAAATACAAATATTATAAATGTAAAAATTAAATCATTGAATTGGTGAATGTAAAAAAAGAAATTGTACCTTAAACTACTTTTTTTTTAGAGATTAAAAAAAATATTTACATATAAATGTCTATTTCTGAAATGGGCTATACTCATGTTAAATATTTTGCGCAAATGTGTTAAACAAAAAAAGGAAATGTATAGCACAAATTAGTAATTGGAGAAAAACAAAGATAAAAGAATAATTTAATTGTACATACCTTATGTCTATTTGAAGAATTTTTGTTTCAGTTCATAGTTAAATATTAACAAATAAGTTTTAGGTTGTGCCTATCAAATATTATTAACGTTATCAAATCTACTAGTATCAATTTGAGGAATCCGAATTTAGAAACCATACCCCGATGATACACTGTGTAAAAGATAAGATTTTATGTTGCAAAATACTCTATTTTGTGACTTGGCTTAATGTTTATAAATTTACAAGAATAAGTAAATATTACAATGCATCAAAATAAGTTTTTTTATGTAAATAAAATGTAGCTCAAATGAGAAATTACGGTTTTGCAAACAATAATTATGCTCCTGTGAAGGAAATGTCAATTTTGGCATGCTAAAAATAAAAATAGGAGATAGCTTTCAGGAAGGCGAGTAAACAATAAGGACTCAATGGGAAATGTCTGACTCTTTTCTTTGTTTAAATCCGTAGAACCTGAAAACTCCCAATTTAAACACCCCTTTTCACCGCCTGAGGATGAACTACCAACTACACAAGTAACAACTTCCGCTTCGATGATTCAGGGTGATAAACAATCCATTGCCAAAGGTGAACATGGAAGACCAGCATCAAAAATTAAAAATGGTAAGTCAACCCTCACAATGTGCTCATCTTTTTATCTAGTGAAACCTCTTGCAGATAAATCGTTAATTAAAATAACTTAAAACGTGAATTTCGGAAATTAGTGTCACTTTTAAAAAATTCATCTACCTTAAAATACTTTAAGATAGAGTTTAAAAAAAAAAAGAATAGGTACAATTTTTCTAATATTATTTTCAGAGTTTTCTGAGAAGCGCTTTGGTCCACTGTCCTACAGCGTCCTCCTGGTGGGGATGAAAGGAGACGGTAAAAGTTCCACCGGAAACTCCATCCTAGGCAGACGTGTATTTGACCCAATTGGCCGCGATAATCATCAGCCTCACCAGATTAAACACGGGGAGGCGGAGTTCGGGGGAAAACGAATTCACGTCTTTGATGGCATTGACATAGATGACTCTGAAGATGATCTCAAAGTCAGTGAAGCGGATCTAACAGCATCTTTGAATTCAACGATTTGGCGTTCCGGACCGGAATTCAACGCCATCATTCTCGTCCTGAAGTTCGGTGTGCGATTCACAAAGCAATACATGACATCAGTTGAACATATCAAGGGGTGGCTTGGCGATGATGTTTTTAGGAAGTGGGGGGTCATCGTGATGACGTATGGAGACAACTTCGAAAAGGATCAACAAGGAAATAGAACATTTGAGGATTGGTGCAAGGCGCAAACGGGAGATTTCAAATCTCTCTACGAGGAATGCAACGGCAGGTGCGTGCTGTTTAACAACAGGAGAATGGACGGTCAAGAGCAACGGGAGAGACTTATGAAAGCTGTGGATGAGATCACTTCAGCGGATGATTATACGCTGTACAAAAAAAATGTATTTTTTGAAAGATGACGGTCTCCGAATATTCTAAAAACAAATGGAGAAGCAGAAACTGCTGGTCATAATTCAAGCAACTGTCATGACGTCAACGTTCCTCAACCATCAGAACCAGAGTTTCTTTCAGGCATCTCTCCGGGGGCACCCCCCCTCCCGGGAAAGTCAAGTGCCCCCCTGGAGCAAAATGTGTACTACAATATAACGATTATATATATATATATATTTAAAAAAAAAAAATTAAAAACAACTAAATCGTGATTAAAAAGGATAGTATATGGCACATTGAAACGATTTCAATTGGTGGAATCTATGAAATATTGTTCGATGATCCGTATATATAAAGCTCATATGTTAAAGGCTTACAGTGTTCCATTATACTATCATAATGGCCGCTCTTGATTATAAGCCGAAGGCTTTCTTTACGCTGTTATCGGTATAATTATTCATTTATTTTTTTTGCAACTTCAGAAATGAATGACTTTAATAACACTATATTAAATTACTTTTACATCAATATTTCTACAATTCTAATACTAGCTCTTAAGTCAACCAAAACTTGCCTATGACTCATCTGTGGGTCAAGGCCTTGCTAAAAGCCTTGCTTCGCGAAGAGTGGTTCAGCGTTTGTACATTAGGTAATATGGCTCGAAAATCTACCGAAAGTAATCGATCCCTTGTGGAGACTGACACGAAGTGAACAAAGCCTCATTTAACAACTGACGACCAAGCAAAGCCTAATTTTGCAAATGAAGGCCACACAAAACTTCATTTAGCAAATGGGTATTGAAAAAAGGATCCATGAGAAGGTACCTGCATAGACGATTGTCTTATGGACCTTAACTTCCGAATCTGTGGACTGGTCACTGAATAGTAAAGCACATAATCGAAGTGCCTCGAACAGGTTGGTAGATTGTAACGGTTCAGACCCCCCCCCCCCTCCAAACAGAAGCATGTGTTAATTGACACATTCACGGTGGAGCCAGCCTGATCAGACTAACCTGTGATATGCTAACCCAGGTTATAGAAGCCTAGGCTCAACCCTATAAGAAAGTGAATAATAGTTAGCAGTTAATAAATATTAAAATTGTCTTACTTTTGTTTTTATTAACGATAAGATAGTACTAAATTATATATATTTGATCGGTTTGAAAGAAGGGGGCGGTACACCGAAATGGCGCTTATCCATCAAAAAGACTTTTTAAAAAAATAAATATTTAAATGTGGGCTTTTTTTAAAAAGAAGAATGAAAATAATAACTAACTAATTGAAGAAAGAATTTCATTTGTGATACAGCATGCGGATAACCATATTTAACGCTGTGGGCCGCGGGTTGGCCATCACTGGCTTAGACTATATACATATTTGATATTGAAAAGTGGCAAAATAAAAATATAAATAATATTTGCAAATAAAAAATTTGCAGTTTAGCATCTTCTCCATCTGAATAGTATTTATAAGTAGAACAGCCCAGAAAGTTTAATATTGTTAAATTTTGAGACCAAACCGTCTTTTATGGTTGTTTTTTTTAAATCTTGGTATGTTATTTCAAATTTCATTTCAACTTAATTTATTCTTGTTTCATCATGCCCTAAAATATATTTTTAAAACAATTTATTAACAGATAAGTAAATTTGGTTTTTGTTTAACATGGGAACTGATTTGATGCAGTGTGACAAACACTTGCTTTGGCACATTCATTATAAAGCGATCAATATATTAAATATAGTTTTTATCTATGCTATATATTGTTATCCGTATGGAGAAATTAATCTCTAATTTAAGTTAATGGCTCGTCCTAAAACAGTACACAACAAAATACGATACCATATGTTAAATACAATAACAAAGAAAATGAAACCCAAACTAGGGCTAATTACAATTAGTAAATTTTTATTAAGTTAATAATAAATTACAACATTTAAAAACAAATTAAAGCTATTGAATTACAGATAATGATTGTCTTGTACCGGCAGAATGTTGAAGAAGATACAATGCTGTAAGAGATACGAAGATGAAGAAAGAAATCTACACAAACAGAGCAAATGTTAGTAAAGTATCCCTGTCTCGTATAGCAAAGCTCTATCGTAATAGCAATCGCTCAAAATATCCCCCTCTTCCTTTTAGAGTCTGTTTTCATTGATATTTCTAGAAAGGACTAACACACTGTTTTCCTTTCCTCATGTGTCTATAAATTTCTACAGAATTCTAATGATACAGGCTAAAGATTTTATTTTGTCGTAAGCAAGGTCAAGAGAGACTTTTCTATTTAGCCACACCCTAAATGGGCTTCCAAACTTGGGGTCAGCTCGAGTTCATTTAAGGGGAAAGATGACGTAAACACGTCGTCTACATAGCAATCTATTTATTGCTACAGACAGAAACAAACAGAAAAAAAGTAAAGAAGAATGGTAAAAAGAATTGATACATTGACTCCATAAGGAATAAACCAAATCCACAATTTTACGTAACTGCCATGTCTTTTTCCTGTTTTTTTTTTTTTTTTTTTTTTTTTCATCTTAAATCTCTATCTCCTTCTTTCTCTTTTTTTTTTTTTTTTTTTTTTTTTTTTTTTTTTACATGTTAACTCTATGTCACTTCCTTTCCATTCTTCTTTGCTTTGTTTCTTTCTTTTTTTTTTCGCCAACTCCTATTTTTCTCCTCCTATTTTAGGTAGGATATATGTATGTATATATTATGTAAATGTATTTGTTTTTTGTTGTTGTTGTTGTACTGATAAAGGCATGTACGGAAACGTATCCTTGTGATTATGTAAAATTGTTAGTAAAGCTTAACTTATATTGTTATTGTTACACACTGCCTTCTATTGCGAGAAATTAATGTCTTGTTTTAAGTTATTGGCTCGTTCTAAACAGTGCCCAACAAAAGGAGGATACCATAGAGAAATACAATAGCAAAAATACGACACTCAAAGCAGTTGTTAATTACAATTAACAAGAATTATTTAAGTATTAATGTTAATATAATTGCAAAACAAAAGAAATGTAATTACAATCATCAACTTACAGAGTATGAGAAGTCTTGTACCGGTACACAGTTAATACAATGTGCCACAAAAATAAGGTACAATGATGGATGCCGAATAAACACATATGAGTACACAAAGAATAATACACTTGTCTCGTGAAGTTAAAAAATATCTCTCTCAGCCCCCCTCCTAATGTTCTCAAAGCCCTTGATATATGCGGCGTAAGACGCATCCAAGAAAATACTTAGACCTTTTTTACTTTTCTAGTCCAACCGCTAACATTCTACAACATACTACGAAAACAGATTATTTATGTTTAAGTGTTTTCGGGAGTAAACACGCTAAGATGAAAGAAAATAGGCCACGCCCAATAAGAACGCGGTGTCTGCTATATTGGTAGCACGGGGGGAAACGTGACGTAACACGTCGTACATAACAGTTATATTTAGACAAATTGTTCGTGTCAACTTAATCTATTTTAAAGCTTTATCGCAGTCCAACACTTTTTTATAATTAGTTAATAGGATTTTTTAAAACAATTTTATTAACATTTGCCTAAGGCATTTATGTGCATGATAATGATAAATCAAAATTGATGTCACAAATGAATGAATTGAAAACAAAACAACAAATGTAATCACAATGCCCTTGATTGAACACACACAGCAATGGTCGGGGAGGCCTTCTAAGAGAAGGCAAACTCTGAATTCAAACCTGGAGCCAGAATGATCAACAAATTGATCGTGGGCACCTCAATTATAAGAAAGAAAGAAAGTAAACTGTTTATGTATTATCCCAGGCGTTTGAGAATAAGGATAAATTACAACAATTTAGGTAAATAAAATATTTGAGATAATGAAATTTAAATTAGATATAAAAAATAAAATTCCATAAATGCATTTCTTGTTATGACATACATCTTTTTAAAAAAAAAAACGGCAATACTGCACATGGCCAGTGTGATACACAAACACAACCAACCAAAAGTGGCTCGAAGATTCACAGTTACCATAGCTGTACGTCTCGTCTGGTATACGTCTAGTAAGTGATCATTGCGTCAATTGTTTTACCTTACTCAAAGTTGTCAAGAGCTTCAAAAAAAAAAAACAAAAAAAAAAACCAAACCAACAAAGAAAAAAAACTTTCAAAATTGCTCTTGATAGTTTTCCCAAATTTTATTTTTGAAAAAAATTAAACAATTCCTTAGGGTTCCCTTGTACACAAAACTATTTACGATTGCCAAAGCATAATTTTAATTATTTTTTTTTCATTAAATGATGTCTTGCATAATAGTTGTCACACAACTCTCAATAGCAGCAGTGTAATCATAAACATGTGTCCAGCATTTTATTTGTCAAGTTATACTACACCAAAGTATTTCATGGGCTTTCACATGCCTCTTAGTAATATTACTGTAACAACTCTAAATTTTTGGGGGACATTTATTTTAACATTTTAATACAATTTTTGTTTTTAAAAAAAACTGTTTTTAAAGAAGTATTTTGTTTTTTATTTTGTACTTTCTTAGTGTTGGAAGATGTAATAGGAGACCAGGAAGTGGGTAGAAACATTCGACGAAAATGCATGAAATATAAGCACGTGAAATGTCAGTGGTGACCTTTCTGCTGTCAAAATATGTTGCTTCCCCACCGTTGATTATTTATGGGAACAAGTAGCCACGCATAAGGAACCACTTAGTAGAACCCTATCAAATTTCGTTCCTGTGATATCCGCGGAAGGTCATTTAAGGGTCAATGAAAGTCAATGGTGACCTACAGATCATGAAGTGTTGGAAAATCATCGGACATGGGTAAGTGTGCAACTTTTCAGCTCAAACGGACACAAGAAAGTTGGACCACGTTGATAAATTAGATAGAGGTCACTGTTGTCATCGAGGAAGGGGATATGTACACAGTTTCTGCTCAGTCGGATACCAGGAAGGGTAAACAAATTGATATGCAACATTTAACCGACAGAAATCACTCAAGGGTAAGGGGAGGTCACTGGTGCCTACTGATCTTAAGTGTTGTCTTGTCTTCTGGGCTGGGTGAGTGTACACAGTTTCAGTCTAAATGGATTTTTTTATGAAGTGGGTCAAAATTGAGATGCAAGATTTGACCACAAGCAAACCAACCAACAAACCAAGAAACCGACAACAAAAAAAAAAGACAAAGAGACAATAAAAAGCGCATAAAAGCATACACAAAAAGATACATCAATGTAGGGAGTATTTAGTATTTATTTTTATTTTATATTGTTTTGACTGTTGTTTGTTCACAGAAGAACGCTAATTGCCGACACAACCTTTGTCTTGTCCAGATTTTCCTATAATTTGCTCCGTAAATTTGCTAAACTAAGATAATTTGTATCGCTCTAAAGTCAACACGGGCCTTAGTTCAGGGCCCTTACACGCACGGTGTTGCCTTGACAGATAAACAAAAGTAAGCTGGTGGACGAGAACGGGTCTTGTCATGTCATCTCAGCAGCCAGGGAGAAAGGATCGTCTCAAAGTACAAATTCCAGGAACCAATAAGGCAATAGATAACACAAAGAGAATTTAAGGCATAGAACATATCAATAGAGAGATGCTGTGGATTAAGGTAGAGTCGGCAGATGGACGGGTTCAGAGCTTTATCCACTAAGTAAGGGCACACATTCAAAATACACATTTTAGTTTTAAAAAATATATTGAAATAATTAAATGAATATGGAAATCATTACTAAGTATTCAGAACGGTAAAGAAAAAACGTTGTTGTTCGTTTGGTGGCCCCTTGTTATCTCGCCTTTGTGTGTTAGAGCAGATGTAGTTTCCTAATCACAAAATGATTGTGGCGTACGTTACAGGTTTTCCTATTCAAACTTGTCAGCCGTGTAAACGTGGAGTAAGGTAAGTATTTACGTTTCTAGGAGGAGAATTCGATTATGAAGAATTATAATTTTCCATCAATTATTGCGTGCACAATTAAAGATGATTGTTACTAAAGAACTATACGGCACATTGATTCAGGAAAATATTTTAATGCTAAGGAAGATCTGTACACTTTCGCAAATTGGGTTTGCCATTCAGCAGTAGTGGGACAATGTATGTTTCTTTTAACTTATCTTATTAAAATATCTACACTTGATCCGCGTGGATCGGTCTATGTATGAAACAAAGTTTTTACATTAAGCGGATTATCCTTTCTGTCAAGAGAAGATAATCACTGCGTCTAGTGTGGACGTGCTGTGTCAGTAAGTCG